AACTCTCCAGCCTATCTATGTTTTATAGATTTAACAAAGGCCTTTGATAGAGTCCAACTAAAAAACATCATCACCAACTTGGAAAGCAGTAATGTCTCGAAAGAACTCACAGAACTGATCAAGGACTTAAACACAAACACAACAACCCAAATAAGAACAAACTTTACCTTAACGCAACATCTTCGAACTACAACTGGTATTCGCCAAGGCGACAGTCTCAGCCCTCTGTTATTCAACACAATCATGGATGAAGTAATAAAAACCGTCAAGAATACTGGATTAGGATATCGAATGGGAAGGCATAAAGTAAACATATTATGCTAAGCCGATGACGCAGTACTTATTGCAGAGTCAGAGGACGACCTCCAAAGAATGCTACAAGCTTTTAACAGACAGGCAGAAAAACTTAACATGCAAATTTCCACAAATAAGACCAAATGCATGACCATTACAAAGGAGCCTCTACGGTGCAAATTGGTAATAAAAAACAAAACTATTGATCAGATAATGTCATTCGAATACCTCGGATGCAAAATTACAAGCTCAGGATTCCTGGAAGAAGAAGTAAGGAAACAAGCCAATAAAGCTGCCGCAATATCAGGACATCTTAAATATCCCATATGGAAAAACAAACATTTGAGTACAGAATGTAAGTCAAGAATATACAAAACCTGCATACGACCAGTGATGACATATGGTGCGGAAACCAGAGCTGAAACATCAGTAACAAAGAGAATCCTACGAACTACTGAAATGAAGACCTTAAGAATGATAACTGGATACACATTGAGGGACAGACAGAGAAATGTAGACATAAGAGAAAAGTGCCAAACAAACGACGTTGTCAGATGGATAAGGCAGAGAAGAAGAGAATGGAACCAGCATGTCAATAGAATGGGCCCCGACAGAATGACCATAATAATTCGCAACAACGTACCCCATGGCAGAAGACCTACTGGACGACCACCTAAACGTTGGCAGTCAACCTCGCAAGAGTTGCTTAGACGAGGAGGAAACCGGAACTAAACAAGCGATACGCCTTCTAAAAGAAGAAGAAGAAGAAAAAACACCCAGACAACAATTTTCATCCAAATATTGACGTTACTTCAGAAATTATTTGAAAAAATTCGAAATAAATATAAAACTTCTACACCCTGTATCTCCGAAACTAAGCATTTTAGGACATATATTTTTTATACGAAGTTTTTTTACTTATTATTATCTGCAGAATATGAAGCCGAAGTTTTCGGAATACAGTTCGAACCACCCTGTATATAATTTATAGGCATCTTTCATAGTTATGTGATTATTGATTCATAATAATTGATTTAATTAGAAATTATTTTGTAGATTGTAGTAGGGAGGGGGACTTAATCACAGCGACTGTCCTCTTTTTGATCGTACTGTCCTCTTTTCTCTCACATATTGATATTGTGCAATCTTCTTGTTTATTTATTGGCCTACAGTTTATTTCAATGTTTATAAAAACTAAACCCTTTAAATACTCATTAGAAATGTTAGATTTTAATATATTTTTAATGTATTTCTTAAATGTAAATAATTCAGTTAATTAAAATAAAGGTTTTTAATAAATTTTTGTTTGTCCGAACACTTAGTTGTTAGGGTTCGTAATTTTTCTTGCATTTTCGCTTTTATTTACAATTTATCAAAAATTATAAGAACACGTCAATTTGACTTAAATGTTTCAGTAGTGTATCTGATATTTTGGTTATTAAATTATTATAACTTATCATCTATTTTTGAAATAGACTAGACAGAAATTACTAAGGCCAAGTTACATACGCAAATAAAAGTAACATAAGTCGAATGCCTACATATTTATCACCGGCATAAGCGTATAAACAACAAAGGGCCGACATTCAGATGAATATGAAACAAAATGAAATAAAAACAAAACGACAGAACTATTGTCAACTGCGGAGCCAAAGGCCTCGACCGGTAACCTTACTTTTCCGAGACGTAAAAAATGGCGAAATACTTCGGGCTACGTACATACGTACCTAGGTACCACATATTCGTGGGGTTTCAGCTCCGCGGCAGACAAGGTCGTCGACGATTTATTAGAGGATATGTACGCAAAGGAATGACGGAGTACCCAGTATTGTACTCTGTTTAAAGCATAAAGCAGTAGACATAGAAGTTTTTTTTGTCAACCGCTTTTTGTCAAGAGTTTGCGTAACAAAGATTGTTTCTACCTAAAAGCTGATAAGGGAAATAAGGTTGATATATTAAATAAAAAAGACTATTACGATAAGGTTAACAGCTTAATCGATAATGGTCCTTACATAAAATTGAAAAAGAATCCTTTGTCTAAGATGGTAACAGATGTTAAAAAAAAATTAAAAGAATGTAACAACCTTATTGATTTTTCTTTAACGAGAAAATTGCAAGTATCCAATCGTTGCCAAAAATTCTTAAACCGGACAAGTCTATGCGCCCAATTGTTTCGGCTGTAGGTTCTCCAACTTATAATTTGGCAAGATGGTTATCAAGGGAGTTCGAAAATTTACTTAATCATGAACCTTCTTTCTCAGTTAAAAATAATATTGAATTCATTAACAAAATTAAAAATATAACATTGCACGAAGGTGAAATTTTGGTCTCCTTTGATGTATCTTCGTTGTTCCCAAGTGTTCCAATTCCACATACTTTAGGCTACTTGAAGGAATTACTGAACGCAAATGGTCTCGACAACAAAACTGTGATTGAATATATTGAGCTTACATCATTATGTATGAAACAAAATTGTTTTCAATTTAATAACAACTTTTTTGAACAGCGGGAAGGTACAGCAATGGGTAATCCATTGGTTCCATTTTAGCTAATTTATTCATGAGCAGGTTTGAAGTGGAGGCTATGGTTTAGGTATGTGGATGATATTTTGCTGTTTTTCACACACATTCAGACAATTCATAGATAATTTTATTTCTAATTTAAATAATCGTTTTTCCTTCCATTAAATTTACACATGAAATTGAGAACGACGACAGATTACCATTTCTAGATGTATTAGTTATTTGGAAATACTAATAATTGCCTGGAATTTGAAATCTATAGAAAAATACCACTACACGCAGATATATTCCTAATGAATCATATCATAGTGTTGAACATAAATGGCTAGTTTAAATTTCTTAGTTCATAGATTACTTAGTTTTTCCACTTTCCAACAAAAGATGAGATAAAAGAGTTTACATTAGGAATGTAGCTGAGTGTAATGGATATTCTCCTTCATTAGTTGATAAAAAAATAATTAGAAACGTAGGTATAGGTTAATGATTTCTGAAAATTGACTTTTCAAGTGGAAAGATACGTCAAAATATGTTTCAATACTGTTTGATAGACAGTTATCCCGTGGTCTAAAAGGAATTTTAAGAATGTCAATTATAGACTTGTGTATAGTGCTAATAATAAATTACAACAATTATTAGGTAATCCAAAGGATAAAAACACCTCTACTGAAAAGGTCGGGTATTTGCGAAATTTCTTGTAAAGATTGTGTAATCAGAAATGTTGGGAAACTAGAAGATTAACTAGATTTAAAGAACATTTAGCTCAGATAAGATATGGTAGACCTGATAAATCTTGCGTTGCTGAACATATTGTTGATAAAGAACATTGTATTGATCTTAATAACTTAAAATTACTTAAACAAGTCTCAAATTACAGACAATTAGATGCATATGAAAGCATCAGAATTAATAAATGTAAAGATAGTATGAACAGAGACAACGGTCCAATTCCTTCAAGTTCTTTGTTCCTACTACTCTAGTGGTTCTGACTCGGTTGGCTAGATCTTGCTACGCCCACTCTGTGCCCACTGAGCGAGTATATAAACGCTCCAATTGTAGATTGTATTTTAGTTTATAATCATCTGCTGATGATGCTAACATGGTTAGCGAAACGCGCGTCCAGTGTAAAAGTAAAAGTGTTTTGGTGTATTGTGGTGATTTAGTGTTTTATTTTGCTGTGTAACACCAAAGGTTCCAACCCTCAACTGTAATAAGTTTTCCTACGAAAAACTTTTTTGTACTATGAGAAAAACCAATTATAAACTACTACAATTTTTAAAATAAGAACTAAAATTTAAAAAAATAGAGAAAATCTTCCAAAATCATTGATAGCTTCATGAATTGTGAGCATATATCAGAAACCAGTCTTATATCAAGGGCAACAAACCCACCGTTGACGAGTGTATAGAACAAACAGTTGCATAGAATTTAAGTTTATAAAATATAATTTTAATATCTTTTCAACAAGTGATTCTTTAATGATGGTGAGTCGGTTTGGCGTCGAAAGTAAATGGAAAAAGCGAACGTTCCGATCGGTTGCAAAAGACGAAGAGGATCTGATCGAGAGGTGAAACAGAAGCGAGCAAGAAAAAATCGTTTCGACCGTTGGCATCGGCAAAAACTAGAAAGTACTTAAGCGCGTTTAGGACAAAGCTATCGGTAAATGGTCGCAATAAAGTCTGGTAACTTTTTGCAAGGACAGAATCCTCGTATACAGGGTGAACATGTATCGTCTGATGATAATACAAGTAAAGGATTCAGGAAATTGTTGATATACTCTTGGTAACTTTCAGTGTTGCTTGATAATGTCGAGTCTATAAATTTTTCTGCAAAATTGGATAATTTATTTTGTTTGATAGAAATTACCAAGGTTTTCAAATATTTTAATCGTCGAGACTTGGTCTGAGATTGCCTGGATAAACTGGTAACTCTGGCATAAAGGAACACAACAACATTAAATTATTCTAGGTGCCGAACCACAGAGAGAAAAACCGATGAACTAGCAAGGCAAGGGTCATCAAAATCCTATCTTGGTCTAAAGCTTTGAATAAAAAGATTAAAGAAGGAATAATAAATAACATAAAATAAGGTCAGTAAAGACTGACAAAAGTCCCACAATATTTCAAATCAAATTCCAATGTGTTTGGTTTGGTTGAAAAACTTACCTCTTCGTAATCCAATTTGAGGTTAGAGTAAACACCCCGTTTGAGGATTCAGAGAGAATACATCGTTGGCCCAGTCGCTGATGACCGTGTAAGTCAATTGGGCGTTTATTCCCAAGTCCAGATCTGTGGCTTTCACTTGACCTACTCTGGATCCCCTCACTGCGTTCTCTGGAATGTCGAAGGAATAGGCTTGTTCCAGAAACACCGGTGGATTGTCGTTGGTATCGTTAACCTGGAAAATAAAGAAATATTTTGTTGAGTTGTATTGTTAAAAAAACTTTTACATTATTTATTATTTCTCAACAACGCTAATGCGTGTTTAATAGTTATTTTTTATACAAGACGATAAAATGGTATTTCATTTCATGCGAGTGAAACCAAAACAATATTTTGTTCCATAACGAGTTACGTTTTAAAAAATATCCAGAAATTATTATTTCAAGGAATTTATTACGAGTAGAAAAAATATTGTGCTGGGTTGGCGTTGGTTTCTATGTAGAATTTTTTAGAATTCAGAATAAGTGGGAGGGGGGTTAATCTCTGCGACCTTAGAGATCTATTGTGTCCCCCTTTCTTGAGTTAGGGGAGATTGCCCCAGCGCCGGACAGTTCCCAGTATCGGAGTTAGGGGAGATTGCCCTAGCGCCGGACAGTTCCTGTGCATCGACACTTTGATTTTCTCTGGTTTCTATATGAATTGGCTGTAACTCCTATTAAAAATCAGTTGTCAAAACGCTATAATAAGTTAGTAACATTTCTGCCATTTCCATTTAGTCTAAGTGTCGTTGTGGAGATACTTTGTGATTAAGTGTTTACGTGGGTGTTTTCAAGGATTCCACTCAAACTTTAGGCCCTTTTATAATACGTAAAGGTAAAAGTTTAGTAGTTCAATAATAACTTATATAACAACTTACATACGTTTGAGACTATAATCACATGCGCAAAACGGACGAAATTATTTCTAGGTTATGTCTCAATGCGTATTTTATTATTTTCGCTGACATTTCCCCAGTATCGGACACCCGTACATTGCCCAGTACCGGACAAAAATAATTGATCGTGATAGGTAGATTATAGCCGTCAGTACTATTATTATTTGTTGTTTCAGGCATATTAATCATGCCAAATAAACAAAAGGGAAAGTAGGATGAAACGAGCATGAAAAAGGCTGTGGACCATGTACTGTCAGGGAAGATATAGCATTAGGGAGGCAGAGTTCCACTTCTCTGTTCCGAAAAAGTTCTATATAGGAGACAGGGTCACGACTCTCCGAAAAGGAAAATGCCGTTAAAATGACACCTACATTAGGAAGATTTGAAAATACATTTAATGTTGACTTAGAAAATGAACTAGTGGGACACCTTAAGGATTTGGATAATCGTTTTTTACCAGTCAACAAAAAGGAATTTTTAAAAGTTAGCATATGATCTCGCTGAGCATTTCTAAATTACAGCATCAATTTAGTAAAACAAAAAGACAGCAGGAAATAAATTTTATCGTGTATTTATAAACCGGCATCCAGAATTTTCGTTGCGTTCTGCCCAATCAACTAGCCTTCAGAGAGCGCAAGGATTTAACAAGCAACAAGTGGAGGCCTTTTGTAGAAGCTGGAGAACCTGATGAAGAAATATTCCCTTTTCCCAAGTAGATTTTTTTAACTGCGATGAAACCGGCGTGTCTGTGGTACATTCTAACGCACTAAAAGTTTTGTCATTAAAGGGAAAAAACAGGTCAGCAAACTAACATCTGGTGAAAGAGGGAAAAATCAAACAGTAATGCTTTGTATAAATGCTGCAGGAGACCAATTTATACCACCTTGTTTTTCTAAGGGAAAGAATGGATGTTAAACTTACGAAAGATGCACCGATTGGAAGCATTTTTGTCGCTCATCCAAGTGGATGGATAACCGTCCAAGGATTTTTAAAATGGTTAAATGCATTCGTGGATCGAGTTAATCCGACTGAGGAAAACCCAATTCTTTTAATATTGGACGGCCATAGCAATACATAAGGATCTGCAAGTTATTTTATATGCAAAAGAACACACCACGTTCATATGCTAAGTTTGCCCTCTCACACGACACACAAACTGCAGCCTTTGGACAGAGCTATTATGAAACTGTTTAAAGGGCATTTAATGGCATGTGGAGGTCTGGATGAGCAAATACGGAAGACTAGGCTTAAAATAACTGTTCAAGAAATCAGTGGTTTAGTTGGAAGCGCATTTTCAAAAGATTTGTAGAATGGAATTTGACACAACGCCAGATTTCAATGTACAGGGATATATCCTTAAACAAAATATCTTTACAGAACTAGATTTTCTTCCTGCTTCAAACACTACGAAAATATTAGAAGCCGACAATCAAGAGAACCAAGGAACCTAAAAATCATTCACTAACCCCTTCTACTAGCTTAAACTCCGGATCTCTCTAAAGCAGTCTTCATTTGACAAAATAGTTCCCTCCGTTTCTACAAGTAAATCAACGGAACTTCTAACTTTTCTTCTGTTGGTTTTTACCGTAAAGTTTGACGCCCTGATCTCTCCCTAATAACAAAGATACAATTATTTCATATTCAATCATTGATGGGGTTGATTCCCGCCATACCTCAAGTTAACAATGAAAAAGTGGGCTAAAAAAGTAGAAATCTCTACTTACTGAATAAAACAATGAACTTCTCTCAGTCACTGACCATGAGGCAATTCCTCCACATCAACAGCTTCCTTCCAAAATGCCATATCAGTCTGACTTTTCTCCAGTTACTGATGATCTACAGAGAAAAATAATTTTAAGAAAGAAAGGAGAAAAAAGCGAAATATTAACTACTGCATATATAAAAATGCTTCGAAGACAAAGCAGAAGTAAAACAGCAGGTTGAGTTAAAAAAAACAGGAGAAAGCAAAGCAACAAAGTATAATGTAAAAACAGAGTCGAAGAAATAATGAAAACACAAAATCATAACTAAATCTGAAAAGTTTCTGTCTGTTAAACGAAAGCCAATAGACGAAGCTGAAGAAAAGAAAACAGACGAAAAGGCTTCTAACAAAACCGAGTGCATCATTTGCGGTGAAACTTTTGAGGAGGACTGGGTCCAATGTTCAAGATGTGATGGGTGGGCTCATGTACAGAGTGTGCTGATAATGATAATATCCTTTACTTTGTTTGTGACCATTGCATACAATAACTTTATTAGCAAGTATGAATTCTCGTAAGAGTAGTATTATTTCCTGTGATAATCTGTCCGTTTATCTGTTCTAATAAAAGCTTCGTAAATTTATTTATCTGGTTTATTTAAAATATATATTGTCCGGTAATGGGGAACAGTTTTTTTACAAAGTGATTAGCAATACTGCTGTAAATTTATAATTTCACTGTCTATATGAATTCATATCGGTTTAAATTTACTACCATATATTAATTAGGTTTTCTTCCATCAATGGCAGTCTAAATTTTTGTAATAGAATGTTTTTTCAAAAAAATAGAAGGGAAACAGCTTAGGTGTCCGGCACTGGGGCAATCTCCCCTATAACTCGTCATACAGTCCCAGGACTTCGTACGGAGACCCGTATCCCTCACAGTCGAGGAGCTACGACCCAGGCCGGGTACACGAAACGGTAGCTTGTGTCGCCTGTTGGGTTTAGAGGTAGGAGGTAGGCTCCCAACCCCTGGAGGAGGTGGTAGCTTGTAATGCCACTTGCGGGAGTGATGGTCTCACGCAAGTGTCAGCCACCCTCCTGTAGTTCTCTCTGGCTTAGCCCTTGGAACTTTCATTGTTATTGTTCCCAGTGTCGCTAGGGGTTTCCCCACAGCTTCACCAGTGATGCTTTTATTACTATTATTACCAGATCTCATAGTGTTCCTAAGAGTCGCTAGGGACAATGGTCCACTTCTACAGAGAGGCCTGCATGTAGAAGTAAGGGGTGTAATACAATGGGGTGCCCCGGTGCCCCAAGGTTGAGGGCTGTCCGTAGTCTCCGCCCGGTATCGTTATATATGTCTTGGTGCAATTCCCTGGCCACGACACTACAGTCAGGGACAAGACGATGAGTGAGATGCTTCTTAGACCAAGCCAAGTGTTGGGGATTCCACCCAGCACCTGGGGGGCACCTATAAATGCTAAAAACTTATAGTAAAAAAACCAAAGGTACCAATACAGGGTGTCTCAGATTTTAATCAGGAAAATTTAATAGATGATAGAACTTGCAAAAATAAAACAAAAAGTTCATATCAACTTGTAAGATTTGAAGCTTCCTTTTCGAGATACAGGGTACCATTAGAATACCATTTATAATATTAATTGCCAATTAGAATTGATTTTTTTTCGCAAGAAGTAAGCAAGATAGACAAAAAAGTCAGGAGACAAAAAAATAATATTTTTAATTACTAAATCCAAAAATATTATTAAACTTCTAAAAAAGCAGTGGCGTGCCTATTTTTTCCTTTAAAATAATTTAACAGTGATGCCCCACCGCCGCCCCTGTCCATTAAACTTAAATCTAATTACATCATTTTTCTTTTTTAAGTAACTTTAACACCCTGTATCTCGAACAGGAAGCTTTAAATCTTACAAGCTGATATGAACTTTTTGTTTTATTTTTGCAAGTTCTATCGTCTATTAAATTTTCCACCTGTATACAGATCAGATGTAAACAGGGAAATGCTAGATTGCCATTTATTTATTTTAGATAAACCGACAGTCGACCTTCATTAGCCTACCAACTCCAAATTCAACCTGTCATATGGTCAAAACGATGCCCGATCGAGTGTGTAGGTATGTCCTTCGGACCAAATCCTTCTATATTTTTTTCCTGTTTATTTCCATCAGCGTGTCAAAAGAACCATAAAATGAACTCGCGGAGAGAAACCTTTCCTATTTCAATAGATAGGAATCGGATGTTTGTGATATGCCCGCGCATACATAACGAACAGAGCAGGCCATTTTGATATTTCAGATTTTTACTTAGATAACTTTGGGAATGTTTCTTCTTCGTGTTTTTTTCGTCTTCGTTTTTCTTTGAACGGAAGATTCGAAAGAGACTTCTCTTGGTCTGCTGGCGGGTCCCTTTACACTCTTCTGTTTCTTTGTATTTAATTTGATGTCATTGATTTGATGCACGCTGTATCTTGTTAAGAATTTGTCGTATCTTTAATCTTGTTCCTATAATTTTTCTATGTTTTTTTTATTTAGTGATTTAGTTTGGACGTAGTTGTTTATTTCTCTAAGGTTTCTATATA